TATGTGTGGATTCCGAAGTGATAGCGTAACTGATCAAATACGTCACGGCTGACAAAGGCCAAGTATTCAACAACTCCAAATGCAAGCTGATTACTTTAGCTAAAACGAAGACGCCCTGCATTATTGTGGTCCAATGCAAGTTGTTCTTGGCGATTCAATCGATATCGCCGTTGAGACTCCGCACGTTTGCGTTTCTTCTCAGTCGCCATTCTTTCGTAGCGTGCCATGACATACGCGTAGAACGTCTCGTCGTCGCTGCGGAGGGGCATAAGAGACAAATGGAAGTTCGTCAATGAAAAAGCCGTTCGTTGGATGACATCGTAGTTCTTCTCCGACCATGAGAACGTAGCGTACGAAATCTTCCACAACGCACACACACGTCCAAAGAAATTCTCGACCACCACGCGATCCGACGAGATCCGCTCGTTCCGCTCCAAGTCGTCAGCATCCAACATGCCATTCGCTGGACGCCGCTTTGGGTGGATTCCACGCAGGACGTGCCCGATGCCAATATATGCCATGTCCACCAAGCAGGCCCAACTCTCAGGGTACTGAGTGGACAATTCCCCGTGGTCAGGACGCAACAACTCGTCCGGAGTCTTCTCGAGCTTGGCCTTGTGGATTGCTTGTCGCGAGTGAAGAATCGTGAAGTCGCGGACCGACCCAGGATGCGAGCAGGACATGGCGACACAACGACCATCAGGTGAGACTGCAGCTTCGATCTTGCATCCATAGAGCCCGTGCTTGCCAGTGAAATAGCGCTTCTGCTCGGCAAAACGGCCCATTGGACGAAGTGAGGGTTGGAACTTCATATCGACCGCATACGACGCGTATGGGTAGTTGGAGAAACGATGTCCTGACTGGACAAGGCTCGACATTGATTGACACACAATGAAACGCTCGTAGAGAACCGGTTCAACCACATATGCGAGTGCAATGAGATTACTCCATACGCAACCGTTGTCGTACCGCAAGCACACGCATTACAAGCTTTTCGAACTGGGGCCTTGAAGCCAAAGTCGGCTGCATGCTTGTCCCATGAACTGTAGTGCTTGAGGACTGTCATGGCCATGAAGAAGCAGTCCTTCGGACTGGTCGTCGAGCGGCGACCTCGTCCCTCCAGCCAAGCAGAGTTCATGGCGTCGTCCACGAACGACCACACCGTTTCGAGGTCGGAGATGGTGAAATTGGTCAACGAGCGGATGCCCTCAGAGCTCAAGTCAGCAACAAAACGGTCCATGATGGGGTTGTTGGGAATCTCGTCCCTCTCGGACACGGAGGTCGCGGCGTCACCGTACTCGATGAACGATGCCTGAAGAAAGGACTGGTCGCGGATGCTTTGGTCCTGCAGGCGGTTAAAGACAGCGTTGGTGTTAATTGGCATCGCAATGACAGAGTGAATTCAAAAGTGATGCTATGCAGAGTGAGTGTGGGAACTATCAAATGGAGGGAAGTCTGCTGCGTTGTGTTGACTAGCCGTGAATTTGGCGGCAAAGGTTGATGTGATGTGGATCAATACAACCATTAATGCGTTAAACGTATAATCCAAAACTATGTTTCTCTAATTTCCTTATATAGTACTTTTCGATACCGAATTTTTGCCCTGCCTCTAATTTCCTAATATAGTACATTTCGATGACGATTTTTTGCCCTGCCTCCCTCCACACTAAAACGAACTCATCAAGGCGAATTACAACGATTTTCAATTTGTCGACGGCAAAACGTGCATATAACTCAAAAATCACGTTTTACTACGCCACCAGGTCAGAAGAACACAGGCAAATGGCG